TTATGGATAGAATATATGGATGTGGATAAGTAGTGTTGAATATTATTTAGATAAACAAGTCAACACTAGTTACCGAACAAAAAAGCGATTATTTAATCAAATGATCCAACTAATTTCTCAAATATTGGCAGCATTTAAATTATATAGCATATTCAGATTAAATTATACATGTTCCACATAGAGTTGGGCGAAGCTCTTCAAATAAATATTTATATTAATCATTAAAAACATCTATGTATAAATAGCTTATCTAAAATGTTAAATTGATGAAAAAGCAGTCTTAGCTATTCTATTGCATAAATTGTTTGTATCATAAACAGCCGACGATCACGAGTCAATGGAACCACTTTTCTCTAGTAAAATAAATAAAATTAATTAATATTATATTTATCTTTATTATTTTTTTAGAACGTAAGCTCTTTTTATAATGTAGGAGATTATAAAAAAAATATGTGTGATGATTTAAGTTCGTAATTAGCTAGCTTTCTATAAAACCCAGTAAACCACAAACGTTCAATTAAGTTGAAATAACGTAGCACCTAAGTCGTTGATGGTGATGGTTACGTTAGTAAAACGTATATTTTACGTATAGATGTAACCTTTAATCAGCCTCAACGTAGATACTTCGAACTGTCGAAGAACTTTTGTAGATGGATTTGTTTGTTTGAACCAATGGGGAGAGACAGTATTTGTGATTTTGTGATTTATAATATTTGATAATCTAGCAAGCCAAAACAAATCACACTCAAAAATCGACCAATCTAAAACAAATCACACTTAAAAATAAAGTATGCTATGTAGCCAGCCCAGAAAACAAAGATGTCGATGATATGCAAGCGCCACAAAAATAGCGCACGTTCTGATATCAAAATTTTGATTGCTAGAAATAAATGGAGATCAAAACGACGTCATTTTGTCTACTTGATAACCAGCCTGGCAGCCAGCCGACCAAAAAGCAGCAAAACAAGCGTCGTGTGAACAGGCCTTTAAATAATATGTGCTTGCATTATATAAGAATTTTTTTTTAATTATTAGGGCAATTTATTTAGAGGTATTAATTATTTCTTTATAATCGTAATGATTCTAGTTCATTTACATGATCGTCGGCTAATGATAAGTTAAAACATTTACCCACACACACCAGTATGTGCCAAAGAAATTAATACTTTAAGTGGACGAAAAACTATCGACCTATGGTACCTTTTAATAAAAAACTTATAAATATGTGTAAATTAAAGTGATGTGCAGATATAATGTAATCAAACTGAATATTTAAGTAATCTATTTAAATATTAATATAATGTTAAGTACGCTATGAAGCTGATCTGAAACAAAACTGCGTTTTCACTTATGAATATCGTATTTCTACGATTTAATTTAACAATGAAAACGTTGTTAAGTATAAGATCGGCAAAAATTGTTATATTGTTTGTTATTGATCGTTATTGAAAGAAAATCTATTTCTTGGATTTTCTTTGTACGTATTATATATACATGCTTACATATTATGGCATTTGTAATATTGTGTCGCTTGAAATATTTTGATAGTGATGTTATTTAAAAATATTTTTTAACTTCTATTTTTTTCAAAATTACTGGTATTGTATTTGAGAATTGATAGTATTTGTCCTAATGCCATTTCTATATATAGAAAGACATATTTTTTATTTCATGTAGTTTAAATTTTGTATCTTGTTTTTTTAATACCGTACTGCAAAAAAAACTTTACCAAAAAATCTCTGATATGCTCTCAAAAATAGTCATATGATATATTACTGAAGGTTTAAATATGAATATCCAATATTAGCAAATAATTTGTGTTCAAAATGCAACAAAACTAATCAAAATATGTTCTAATTTAAATTTTATTGTTTGGATTACTATGAAAATATACGATTTGCAGTGTTGTTTTCAAAATAGACTTCGAGCTTAATTTTAAAATTAAAGTTGATTTTTAATTGCGAACATTTCACAGAAATCAAATAATAGTAATCTGTATAAAGCTTCTTTTGATTATGTTTTAATGTTCGAAAGCAAATAATTATGCAGAATAGTATTAATAAATATTCAACATATACTTTAATTTTACGTAGAATTGAGTTATTGAAAATATTGAATTATGGGGCATTTTTTTACATCAAATAAGATCACTGTCAAATTATGTATTAAAATAATTAATGTAAATAAATTATACAATTGTATTATTATTTGTTGAAATACTTCAATCAAAAGCATTGATATGATATTTAAAAACAAAAACATGCTGTTGTGGATACTACAAAACAAATAATATATGAAAGTTAAAATTTAATAATAACTCGTATTTTCATTATTTGTTCTTGAACAAAATTCTCTTTTAAAAAGATATAAAAGTGTAGTCGTTTTCATAAAATATAACTCTTTTCAATTCATTTTCAATATATACGCTATATACAAATTGTGTTAAAAATATTTTATATTATATAAAATATCATGGTTTGACTCGTTCCAAAATATTAAACAACATGTATTACCTAAGTTCTTCGGTTTCCATTAATTCATTGGATGCAATTTTGAATTTGGCATTGAATTCATATACTGTTTATATACTATTCGACATTTCAAGAACTTGAAATTTCGAATAGTATATAAGCAGTATGGCATTAAATTTAGAAAGTAAAATCAGAAAGTTTACGAAAAATTAATTTCTCAAAAACGGCTACACCGATTAGTTTTGTTAAACTAATCGTAGCATGTTGATTTTAGCGCTACGATTGTCCTAGCCGTTACTGGCCATTACTGGCCGTTACTTTAGAATTAAATGATAATATCAAAATTTTTTGTCTACGTTGTCAACCAAAATACCTGAATCGATTTTATAAATTCAGAAATTGTTCTGAAAATATTAATTAGCAATCATGCTGATTAGTTTGTAGTAAAAATTACTAATTTATGTTCGACAAAAATATTATGATTTTCTTGAAACTTTATCGTAATAGAGTTGGTGGCATCCTAAATTATCAGAAGTCTACAAGAAGTGGTTTATCTAGCTTTAATTTATAAAAGTTTGGAATAAAAGTAATTTTCTTTTAATTTATTAATATTTTACAAATTTGTTTCATCGATATAAAATCAATTGGAAATTCGAGTAATTAGTTTGAAGTGAAAATGAATGTCGATTTAAGCTTCATTTATATATCAAGTAAGGTCAATAATTAATCGAAAAACTATAAATTTCTAAAATAAACTAATAAAAACAGTCGATCTTAAATTTGAGACGTCTACTAGCATAAGTATACTCTTCTTTTATCTTTGTATAGTAGGCAGTTAGTTCACTGTCCGTCCGCCATGAGCGCTCAAGCCGTATCAGATGACAGTTTAATGGACTCGCCCGTTAGGTCTATGTACATCTATATTATAGACTCTGTGTTTTTTTATGTAGTGACGAAATCGATACAAGTTTAGTTGATTTACCTGGAATCTGGCTTATTGACGTTAGTATAACCTCGTTTCTAATTCATACTGAATTTCTCAATTTATCAGTATAATTAAAGATATTGTTCATCTGCATTCCAGGTGTACGTCTTCAGATCTGTAAGTAAAAATATTTTACAAGCCGTCCGAGTTCATTGTGTTCATTCGAGCTGTGTTAGCATTGCACTTCAATTCCTCAAGTTTCATACATAATTCAAAATGGCTCGTACTAAGCAAACTGCTCGTAAGTCAACCGGAGGAAAAGCTCCACGAAAACAATTAGCCACAAAGGCTGCGCGTAAAAGTGCTCCATCCACTGGAGGCGTCAAGAAACCCCATCGTTATCGTCCAGGTACTGTCGCCCTTCGTGAAATCCGTCGTTATCAGAAATCTACTGAATTGTTGATCCGTAAATTACCTTTCCAACGGTTGGTGAGAGAAATTGCCCAGGATTTCAAGACAGATTTGCGTTTTCAATCAGCTGCTATTGGTGCTCTGCAGGAAGCCAGTGAAGCTTACCTCGTAGGCTTGTTTGAAGACACCAATTTGTGTGCCATTCATGCTAAGAGGGTAACAATTATGCCCAAGGATATCCAGTTGGCTCGGAGAATCCGTGGTGAACGCGCTTAAAATTTTATTTACATAATAACCATATATCTCATATGCATAACATTTAAACTTGTATCTTACTATATATTATTGTTAGGAATTCATGGCATTTATGTGTAATCATTCACCTTTTAAAACATCTTTACATTGTAGGACGTGGTCTGAATGTTGTCATTTGAATAAGAAATAATAGACTTAATTATATTTTTAATTTTATATCCATACTTAGTAATTTTGAGAACCGACTATGTATTACATTTTTTTATAGTTGTGTTATCAATAATCATTTCAAAATTAGAAAAGTTACATTGAAACTAGTATATTAAAAAACTTATTGTATTCATTTACTTTATTGTATTAATCATTGAACAAAATAAATTTTATCGTGTATATTATTTTTTTAACAACTTATATATTCCATTTCATTGAAGTTAATACAAAAATAACTATAAGTTTTCACAAATAGTATTAAACGGCTTAATTAAGTTTCATACTTATATACCACGTTTGTTGAAAATTTTGCATTCAATACAGACTAAAAATTTAATTTATTTGAGATATTTGTATGCAGTCTATTAATTTTGAAATAATTGTTTTACAGTTGTGTATGATTTATCAAATTTACTTCTATTGAACCTGGGTATATAATCAGATCTGTTATTCATATATATTGCCATTAACCTTTCTTTTACAGCTCTCATTTAAATTTATTTTTCTTGCTTATACAAATATCATAGAGAATATTGACTGTTTAATGAGGGTTTAATAAATAAACATCATTAAAATACCATTTTCAAATGACATTAATAAATATAAGTTTATGTCTCGAGATAAACATGCACAACGTGTGTAATCTTTGAGAAGAGGTATATATGGTTGCTTTATTTTAATTTTTTGACTTTCAAAGTAGATCAGTTATCAGTTAGTAGACTATAGGGGAGTTCTACGCGACGAACACCCTGGATCGCCCCGGTTGAAAAACTGGGTGCATCACATGGAGGGTCAGTGTACGAGTCCCAGGAGCACCCTCGGGTGCGATGAAGGTGTGGTGAAATGAGGAAATGGTGTGGGAAGGGAGAGAGAGTTGTCTTGAGTTCAATTTGAGCAAATACACCAAGGAACAAGTGAAATTGCTGAATATTATACATGGGCTGACGAAAAGGTAAGATTATAAAAGATTAATATGGTAGATTTAAGGTGTGTTTGAAAATTTGGTTTTGTGGGCCTGGCATGTTTTTGTTGTTTGTGCCAGGGTGTTGAAACTTCAGTATTTGTTTGTTGATACGTTAATTAAATTAAAAAAAATATAAACTCGGATATTTTTCTAATAAAGTTAGCAAAAAATCAGCTACTTACTACACAAGTAGCGCGAGGCATGTTTGTACTCAAGTTTAACTGACTTTTGGGCCAATTTTGAAAGTTTGTTGAAATTTATAAATTTTGAGTTAGTTGTTATTCTTTAATATATACTGTACATGAAAAATTGCATACAGTTTTAACAAAATTACCTAGAAATTAGCAATTTGTATTTGTGAAGCACGTGCACTATTGCTTTCGTCTTCCAGGCTCTAATATGCGTAAAGTACCATTCTTAATATTTTGTCGTGTCTATACAATTAATACTTAAGGTACATAAAATTTACCTGGTTATTCCTTAGTATATGTATTAAATTTAAAAAATACAAACAAGGATTTGTTGCTAGTAAAATCGGATATTACTATAGTACGGCGCTCACATGCACCTTGCAATATTATTCCTATTCATACACAAGAATTCATGAAGTATTTACAATTTATTTATAAACAAAAATATATATTGTTTTATATTATTATAAACAAATTCTATTTTGTTTATATTTTAAAATGCATAATATACAAATGTTGTCCTGAAAGTTGAATGTGAAAGTAATTTATATAATATGATAATCAAAATTCACTAATTTATACATTTCTTGGTTTTTTAGATTTTTGTTTGAAGTTCTACTTAAATATATGTATAACAACACTCAGATTTTTAACACACACTTTATTCAATAATTACAGATGTTTTGAGACCATGGTATGCCTCATTTCATTGTAATTTCAAAAACAGTTACTTATATACTACACATTTTTAATATTTATTTAATTACATTTAATTTTTGATATACAAAAAAACACCAACTAATCTTTGCAAAGCTTGACTCAGTAATGAAAAACGTCTGTAATTATCAAAGTGTTGTTTTGTTCATATTTAACATTTAATATTCGTTCCACTCTTATCACAAAATTATATATATATATATATATATATATATATATATATATATATTTATTATTTATATAATACATATTTATTTTTTTCCAGTCTCCCAAAACAGTTTACTTCTTAAGTAAAATATCACCAGACATCAGCTCGGCCATCAACAGTACATGGCCATATCCAATTTATTCATCGGAACCAAATTTAAGAGCAGTTGCATATTTCACCAAAGTAAATCATAATATATATAACAATTAATTAATAATTAATATTGATTAATATTAATATGTACTATAAATATTAACTATTTGTTAGATAAATAAGGATTTACTACGACCACTCACATATAGAAAAAAAAACTCTGATCATTGTAAGCGATTTCCAGTTTTATGTCACAGCGATCGATACTCAGAGTTTGACTGGAACTGTGATGTATCATTTTACATGTAAGTGATAATAATAATAAATTTATATATATATATATATATATATATATATATATTTATTTATTTCTTTTGTAGGTAATGATCATGATTATTTATACACTGGAAAATTGTGCATAACGTCCAATATTTTAAACAGTTCATACATCAAAGATTTAGGGGAGAAAGAACAGATTGATACTTTAATTTGTGACAGTTCTATTATTGATGTTCCTGTTGATTTTAATGTGCTGATAAGATTGAAAGTATCATCAGGTACAAAATAAAATTTAGTGAAAATTAATTGGAATTGTGGTCTTGAATCTTATTAGCTACTAAAATTTGGTATAATTTTTAACTGCTTTTAACTGCGAAATTGTGTCTGTCCACATTTTATCAAACAACTTGAAAATTTTGTTCTAGACACTTTAATTTATATTAGTAAACAATAGATGAAATTTACTAAATTTTAGTAAAAACTTTTATATACACTTGAAAATAAATAGATATTTTTATCACATTTAAAAAAAAAATTACAACTATACAGTGTGTTATAATATTTCATTATAATAACATAAGGCATTTCGTTATTTCAAAACAAGAAGGGATATTCTTAAATACATTGATAAAATAAATTAATGAGAATTGATTTAAATATTTTTTTGAATTTCTTATAATTTTTTATTTATTTATGAAAAACTTGTTTGATATAAATATATAATATTGATATTAAACACTAAAATTTGATATACTTTGATATACTGATGATTACTTGTAACAATTTAAGTAGTTTAAAATTGTATAAAAAAGTACCTCAAAATGCTATTTGATACATAAATAAAAAATATCTTCGTAATTTAATACTAATGTTAGTGACAAATTATTTAAAAGTCTCAACTGTATAAAAAGAAACGAATAATTGACTGACTGATTGATTTAATATGATAAATTAATTAAGAAATGCTTAAATATTGAATTATTCATTTTATCCATACATTCTTTTCAATATTTACAATTTTGTATTTTACAAGTATTTATTCTTATATATTGTATAAGAAATAGTCAAAGATGAAATAAATATCCAAATATATTGAAAATATAAACTGAAATGTTTCTAACAAATTTGTAATTAAAATTTTGATTTTAGGAATTATTCAAACATGAAAATAGTTATTAGCATGGATACTTTTGGAATGGAAGATTTGCTATTTGAAATAGCCTGTCGAGGATACTCTGTATACACTGAGTGTTCCAGAAATGCTTTTTTGAGAATCCAAAATGCTGATTCATATTTTACAACTTCTAGAGATGCTGTTTTAAGAGTTGTCAATAAAGCATTTTGTGTAAACATCGATGATTGTTACAGGTAATAGAAATATGAATAATATCATATATATATATATATATATATATATATGTATGTATGTATGTATGTATGTATTAGGGTGGTCCTTAATATGGACAATTTCGAATTTCTTTTCTCCCAAGGGCTCAAATGCTTCTAAATTAATTTTAACCAAATCTTTCGTCATGTTTTTGTTCCAAAAGTTGAAAATCGTTATATGCAGTTATGTAGAGAGTTTTATAAGCTTTTTAATGATATAAAGCAAAATTTATGTGCTGTAACAAGTTTTTCCACATTTTAAACAGATGTCACAAAATGTATAAAGCATTTGAGTTATACGAGTTCAAAGTTTGACGACTTTCTCCGTCATGTTTTTGTTCCAAAAGTTGAAAATCGTTATATGCAGTTATGTAGAGAATTTTATAAGCTTTTCATACATGTAAAATAAAATGTATGCGCTTGAACAAGTTTTTGCACAATTTAAATAAATGTCGAAAAATGTGCTTGCAAATCAATTCTTGTCGATTAAGCTGAACCACCATTCTGGAATTATATAATAAATTAATACACAAAAGTACTCTTCATTTAGTAATTGTGATACTTACGTTTATATGTTCAATATCTTTTTCGGAAAATTTCTCTCGTGGACCTCCTAAAATGAATATTTTTGCTCTTGTTAAATTTCTCTCGTTCATTTCGTCCTTGTTACTGAGGAAATAAATTTCATACATTAATTCGCGAGTATATTAACAAATTTGTAGAATGCTGTTCTGCGACCAATAACAATGCTCGAAAATTGGCTAATTAATTTCGTTTGTTTTCGTTTCCTTTCGTTTCCTTTCGCCCTTTTCGCGTAGGTTATAAATAGGAGTGCGCAAAGGAATACGTGGCAGTCGTCGGCCGCGGCCCGTGTCTCGGAGTCTCCGAGGCACGGAGTCCCCGAGGCACGGAGTCCCCGTGACCCAAAGTCTCCGTGACACGGAGTCCCCGAGACACGGAATCTCCGTGACCCGAAGTCTCCGTGGC